CCTATAATAGGGTGCCTAATAGAGAATAAACATCTCTGAGGTGATGGGTGATTGACAAGCCACTTTGCTTCAGAATGATACATTTGTAGGTTATGTCACACGAGAGGCAAAGAGTCAGACATTTAAATGGGATAAGTCACAATGCTGAAAAACAAACAGTGTGGACACGGGATGGAAGAAAAACCGCCATTGGAAGGATAAATAATGGGGGACATTTCGCAGCAAGTATTTTCATTTACAAAATATACCCCCCCCCCCCTTTTCACACACACGCACACACCAAAAATACTCGTTTAAAATACATACCTTCTCCTAAACGGTCCATGCTGCTGAGGCGTGAGGTGGGTGGTGATTGAGATTGAATGGCGATGGCGGAGATACTGCAAGCGGCAATAGGCGGGGATCAGAAAAAACATGGCAGCGGGGCCATCGAGCGAACGGCGACGGGACACTGAAATTACCACGGAGGACGGTCCAAAAATATGGACAAATTTCTCTTGGGGTAATTTAAATGTACAATAGCCTAAGTACACTGCGCTCTGCGCTGCTCGAAGCAAATTCCACAAGTGATAGGCACAACCTACTTACCTCCGGCTGCAGCTTCCTCGTGTGAGTTTGGCGCAGGTCTGGCGAAGTAAAATGGCACCGAAGTCACCAGAACTAGAGACACCGGAGCAGTGCAGTGGTCGTGTTCCCGCGTCAGCCGTGCAAGTTGTGGCCGTGGCCGCAGAGAAGCGCAAGTGATCCAGTGTTGCCATATCGTGGGATAAATCCCTTTTCGTGAGAGTTTTGGAGGCCAAAGGGATAAAAAAAATTGATGCTCAAAATTTCTTATTTTGCTAGGGGGTTTTTCGGAAAAGGGGCGTAAAAGGGATAAGAAGGGGTGAAAAGGGATTTTTCACAGGCTTCTGTGGGACAAACGCCCGTCACCGCCTGGCAACACTGTAGTGATCGCGGAGATCAACTCCCGCTTCGAGCTTTAGAGAGCGGAGCTCTCTCATTGAGCGTTTCATTTCTAGGTATTTTGTAAGTTGTGATTTATGTCAGTTGTTTCGAAGACTCCACTTAATTGCAGTGTATTTCGGCTAACAGAGGCAAAACAATCAGCAGGTATATAACATAAAGGTGCCTGATTGGTCGTGCCTTTACCCCCACTACTGGTTTCGCGGCCCAGGGGGAAGTCCGGAGAGCACCTCGGATCGGTGACCACCACTACGGGCTTTTTAGAAGATCGCGGGAGGCTATCTCAAGACGGAGTACCGTGGTCACCCATGTTGAACTCGTTTATCTACGAAAGATGTTATTCTCCATTTCCAAAGCACCCTAACAACCCCCAACAATGTGCAGGTAGGACGATAGCCGCTTTTGTATTGCTGACTTGGGCAGGGGCGAGAGAGCGCCGAATAGGTACGCGCGGACAATTTGTGCACTGGAGATTGTGGTAGTGCAGGTCTGCGCTCTGCTTGCCGCCGATGAGCCGAGCGTCGCACCGAACACTGGATGCACGTGGTCGTCGTGGTAGCTCCGGGCCTGGGGCAGGGGGCACGACCACGATGTAGAGAGACCTTTCTAGAGTGGTCTTTCTACATCGTGGCCACGACCCCG